GATAAAGCTTATTTGGGATATTTAGTTATTAGTTGTGTTGGAACTCCTTGCACAGACTCAGAGAGAAACACAAGCACACAGTTTGATATGCATGCTGCACATGGCTTGGCTAAAAAAGGAAGGAAGCCGCAGCTTTATTGTCTAACTTTTTCAATAAAACAGTTATAACATGGATATATTACAGAACACTGCCATCTAGTGACCGGAAATGTATACTGCAGGACTTGTTGCGATAAACACAGTAGTATTATTATTATTATACAGGATTTATATAGCGCCAACAGTTTGTGCAGCTCTTTACAATATAAGGAAGACATTACAATCACAATACAATTCCAGACAAGATGGTAAGGAGGGCCCTGCCCCTGATGGCTTACAATCTAAAAGGGGAGGGGCCAGTGATACATGAGGAGGTAGCTGTGTGGTGATGAATTGTTTAATAATGTGATGGTTGACTGGTTAGGTTGAGGTGGGATCGGCTTCCCTGAATAGATGAGTCTTAAGGGATCGCCTAAAGGCAGTCAGAGTGGGAAACAGACGGACAGGTTGGGGGCAAAGAGCTCCAGAGGATGGGAGAGACTCTAGTGAAGTCCTGGAGGTGAGCATGGGAGGAGTTGACAAGGGAGCTGGAAAGCAGAAGGTCTTGTGAAGAGCGGAGGGGACAGTTAGGGTGATAATTTGAGACAAGGTTGGAGATATAGCCGGGGCAGAGTTGTGGATGGCTTTGCAAGTGGTTGTTAACATTTTGAATTTTATCCTTTGGGCTATTGGAAGCCAGTGCAGGGATTGGCAAGGTTGGAGATATAGCCGGGGCAGAGTTGTGGATGGCTTTGTAAGTCATTGTTATTATTTTGAATTATATAGACAGGAAGTGGCTGAAAGAGGCCACTTTGAGCATTGAGATGCAAAAAAAGGATTACAAAGTTGAGGACGTGCAATTGTTTTATACACATAGTACTTTATAAAACTACATTTTAGTTTTATGCTTTAAAAATTCCTAAACATGATAAAGCTTATTTGGGATATTTAGTTATTAGTTGTGTTGGAACTCCTTGCAGAGCCTCACAGAGAAACACAAGCACACAGTGTGATATGCATGCTGCTGCGCATGGCTTGGAAACAGGAAGGAAGCCGCAGCTTTATTATTGTGGGCAGCACAGTGGCGTAGTGGTTAGCCTTGCAGCACTGAGGGTCCTGGTTCAAATCCCAGCCAGGTCACTATCTTCAAGGAGTTTGCATGCATGTTCTGCTTGCGTGTGTTTCCTCCAGGTACTCCGGTTTGCTTCCACACTCCAAAGACATGTTGGTAGGCTAATTGGCTCCTCTCTAAATAGGCTATCTGTGTCTGCATGTGAGATAGGGACCTTAGATTGTAAGCTCCTTGAGCGAAGGGACTGATGCAAGTGCTGCGTAAATTGTCAGTGCTGTATAAATAATAATAATAATAATCTACCTTTTTCAATAAAAAATGTATAACATGGATATAACAGAACACTGCCATCTAGTGACCGAAAATGTATACTGCAGGAGTTGTTGCGATAAACACAGTAATGTGTATTCTAACAAGTTGATCTACTGTACTTTAAGAGCAGAGATGAATGTTCTGTATATGAAGCTGCATATACATTGTGACATAGTGACATAGTTGGTAAGGTTGAATAAAGACACAGGTCCATCCAGTACGTGTAATATATAGTACACCATATGGACAAAAAGTGTGCGGACATCTGAAGTTGGTATGAAATTTTGTTTACCCCATCCATCCGAACCACCAAAAAAATACTTTGGAGTATGTCTGTGCCCAATCAGCCAAAAGCAGACTTGTGAGGTCAAGTACTGTTGTTGGATGAGAAGATCTGGCTCATAGTTGGTATTCCACATCACCCCAAAGGTGTTCAGTGGGGTTGAGGTCAGGGCTCTGTGCAGGACACTCGAGTTCCTCCACATCAAAGAGGTCAAACCATGTCTTTATGGAGCTGGCTTTGTACACAGGGGACAGTTATGATGGAACAGAAAAGGGTCTTCACTAGGGATGCTCCGATACCACTTTTTTAAGACTGAGTACTCACTGATACCAATTACCAATACTTTTTCTTAAAGGGACAGGTCACATTTTTTTCTAAAGCAATACAAAATCATGATTTCAGGTCAGTTTCTGAACATGAAATGAATATTTAGATCATGCCATTGCTAACTAAGGCTTGTATCCCCCTAGTGGGGAAAATCCAGACCAGAACACTGTATAGTCTGGCACAGCTATACCCAATTCTGCATACCTGGCTTTATATTATAAGAACTTTATATTATAAAGCCAGGTATGCAGAATTGGGTATAGCTGTGCCAGACTATACAGTGTTCTGGTCTGGATTTTCCCCACTAGGGGGATACAAGCCTTAGTTAGCAATGGCATGATCTAAATATTCAGTTCATTTCATTATTCAATGTCTTTTTTTTATATTACGAGTACTCATGAAAATACTCGGTATCGCCGCCGATACCAATGCTTGTATCGGTATTGGAGCATCCCTAGTCTTCACCAAAGTGTATCTGTTGGTATTTGTGCCCAATCAGCCAAAAGAGCATTTGTGGGGTTGGGTACAGCTCATGGATGAGAAGGCCTGGCTGGTGTTCAGTAGTGTTGAGGTCTGGGCTCCGTGCAGGCCACTCAAGTTCCTCCACACCAAACTGGTCAAACCATGTCTTTATGGAGCTGGCTTTGTACTCGGGGACAGTCATGGTGGAACGGAAAAGGGCCTTCACCAAACTGGTACCACAAGGTTTGAAGAGCACAATTGTCTAACATGTCTTTGTGAAATATATTATTAATGGAACCCTTCACTGGAGACACCCAAGCTCAATCATTTGGAGGAGTCCACAAATGTTAGGCCATATAGTAGGTGTGATGGTCAGTTGTTCACAAGCCTTTAGCCACATAGTGTAGTTGCACCCACTAGGACCTGCTCTGGGAAAAGGCCAGCTAACGTTCCAGTTTCTGGGTTGCACTGAGGAAACTAGAGGACTTGGAGAAAACAAAAGCAGTAAGAGCACCAGAACACCCTGCAGATGGCGTGCATGGTGGAAACTGAACCTAGAAGCTTCATGAAAATACTTTAATGACTATTGTGAAACCTGACCACTGGACCCATTAGTGTTGAGCACTCAACCCCACTCTGTGGCTTTATAAATGAGGATGAAAGCAGAAGAATGATATCCACACAAGAGCGTGCATGGATTTGTCTTGGGTACAGGTCAAGGTAAATATGTCTAAATTGTGAAAATAATGATTCCGTCTTCTCACCATCCTCTTGTTTAGGTTCTCGAGGTTCTTTGAATTCTAAATACCAGAATGTCAATAATTATACTCATCGGCTCCCTCACCGTCTTCTCCCCATCCTCTTGTTTAGGGTGAAGGTTCGTCTTTATCTCCAAGGGGGGTTGTCAATGTCAAGTTTCATGATATGAAGACCTTCTGGACATTGTTTCAGTCAACGTTGCCATTGCTTGACCTCTGTGATTGCCCCAACCATCCAATAATCCATCATGGATGAAGCTGACTGTGGACCAGATCTGTAGGAGCTCCACAGTGTGAAGGTTCTCGAGGTTCTTTGAATTCTAAATACTAGAATGTCAATAATTATACTCATCGGCTCCCTCAGCGTGTCCGTCTATGTTTACAATTTCTTCATAAAATTTCCTTCAGGGACCAAAATTGACTCCGCAAGTCTTAAAAAACCGCACACATTGATACTCCTCTTCATATGAATGCACATGATCTGTTCTTCCAAAATGTTGATTTATCCAGAATAAGTCATCAGAAGCTTTATATCTGTCCTCCTTGTGCCGGTCACTCATTAGAATCACAAAATTGTATCAAAATGTCCATTTAGCTTGTTTATAATTTTATTGAAAACACAAATTTTTTGGGGTTGCCTTATTGATAATAAAACCCCATCGTCAGTGACACAACAGCAGACCTATGAATGGGGCGGAGCCTAGTAGTGTCTACATTGTATGCTGTAAGGAGAGAATGACCAGACCTGTCTGCAGGGAGACCAGTGTCCTGTTTCATGCACCGGAAGAGAGTAAAGGTCGAAGTCTATGCGCTGGTCAGCACGTTTTCAGGGTCAAAGTTGATGGAGAAAAATATTTTGATGGTCAAAAAAAAAGTGAATGTCAGACTTCTGGTATAAAACCTCCGGATTGCACACTGGAGACTGGAAGAGCCCCCCAAAAAGTATCTGTCATTTTTTTTTTTAATAAGACGGCATTTACAAATTCAATTTTTGAATTCTTTTGTTTATGTTTAAAGAGAAATGAATGGTGACACATTGAGAGACAGGGGCAGAGAGTTGTCACCCTAACAGGAAGTGAGGGCAGGATCACCAAGGATTATTTAACGGAAGCTGCAGATTTAAAAATAACTTTTCAAAGTACATTAACAGGTGAAAGCTTCTATGAGGTTTTAGGGATTTGGTGAGGATGCTTTTTAAGTTCCCTACAGGGTGACAACACAGGACCACAATTGAGAGCCAGGGACAGAGAGTTGTCACCCTAACAGGAAGTGCCTGAGCAGGGACCTTCATGGCAGGATCACCAGGGATTAAAAATAACTTTTCAAAGTACATTAAAGTGAAAGCTTCTATGAGGATTTAGTGGTTGGTGTAGATGCTCCTCAAGATGCTCCTCAAGTTTAGGGATTTGGTGAGGATGCTCTTTAAGTTCCCCACAGGGTCACAAAACAGGACCACAATTGAGAGACAGGGACAGAGTTTTCTCACCCTAACAGGAAGTGCCTGAACAAGGACCTTCATGGCAGGATCACCAGGGAATATTTAACGGAAGCTGCAGATTTTAAAATAACTTTTCAAAGTACATTAACATGAAAGCTTCTATGAGGCTTTAGCGTTCGGGTATAGATGTTCCTCAGGTTCCTCACTTGGGTGTAAATGCTCCTCAGGTTCCTCACTTGATATCGATTCCCCCCCGAGGATTCCCTCACAATGGACAACAAGAACCAGACGGTCTTCACGGAAATCATTTTGTTGGGGTTCACCGGAGACCGGACCATCAACATTCTGCTGTTTATTTTATTCTCCGTCATCTACTCGGTGACTGTTTTTGGAAACGGCCTGATCATCGGCATCATCCTGCACAACCATCACCTGCACACCCCCATGTTCTACTTCCTGTGCCTGCTCTCCGTCTTCGACTTGAGCTACTCGTCCACGGCCGTGCCCCGCCTCTTGTCAGACCTCTTCTCTTCGCAGAGGGCCATCTCGGCGCTGGCGTGCGTCCTCCAGATCTACGTCATCCTTCTCCTGGAGGGGTGTGAGTGTCTCCTCCTGGCCATTATGTCCTACGACCGCTACGTGGCCATCTGCCGGCCTCTCAGGTACCACGTCCTCATGCGTTGGAGTATCTGCTACAAGCTGACCGCCGTGATATTCATCTCCAGCTTCTTGATGTGCATTTTCCCCTCCATCTTCATGAGGATCACCATTTGCCACAACCGGATCAACCACTTCATGTGCGAGGTTCTCGCCGTCGTGAAGTTGGCCTGCGGTGATATTTCGGCCAATGAGCTGGTCATCTTCTCCATCAGCTTCGTGACACTCCTCCTCCCCTTCCTCCTCATTATAATATCGTACGTCTGCATTTTGTGGACTGTGCTGAAGATCCGGTCTGCCGGGAGGTCTAAGGCCTTCTCCACTTGCTCCTCCCACCTAGCCGTGGTGGGACTGTACTTTGGGACCGTGATGCTCATGTACTTCGGCCCGTCATCCCAGTACTCCACCGACCAGGAGAAGTACAGCTCCATATTTTACGTGATTGTGTCCCCCATGCTGAACCCCCTTATCTACGGCCTCAACAACAAGGAGGTAAAGGACACAATTAGGAAACTGCTGACAACACGGACTCCTGATTAACCCCTTCATGACTGAGCTTGTTTTCAGTTCATCTTCATAAATGACTGAAGCACTTTTGACATTTTTGCTGTGTGATTCTTCCACGTCAGTAATATACTTTCTTACTGTGCACCCACACATACACTATATTGCCAAAAGTATTGGGCCCGTCCCCCTCCAAATCATTGGATTCCAGTGTTCCAATCACCTCCATGGTCACAGGTGTATAAAATCACGCACCTCGGCATGCAGACGCTTCTACAAACTTCTGTGAAAGAATGGGTCGTTCTCAGAAGCTCAGTGACTACAACCCAGATAGTAAGGATAACTTGCCACACACTTGTGTCGGGGTTAAATTGTAATTCTTGTTTACTTGCTGCACACGTTCCTGGCAGGTTGTAGACTCGCAGAACACTCGCAGCACAAGTTCTAGGCGACACTTTTTGAATTTGTAGCACATTTGCTCGGCAAGTCTACAGCACGAGTCCTGCAGGTCTTAGCAAGAACTCTGCAAGCTCGCTGGTCTGGAGACTTGCAATGCAGACTTGCTGTAATTGTGCAACAAAATTGTGAAGCTCGGCAAGTCTGCAAGAGTTTAGCAAGTCATTTTCAAACTTGCAGCTCAATTACTTGCTATCTGGGAAGCGTGGTACCGTGATAGGTTGTCACCTGTGCAATAAGTCCATCCGTGACATTTCCTTCTACTAAATATTCCGCGGTCATCTGTTACTGGGATTATAACAAAGTGGAAGCAACTGGGAGCAACAGCAACTCAGCCAGGAAGTGGTAGGCCACGTCACATGACAGAGCGGGGTCAGCGCATGCTGAAGCGCACAGTGCGCAGAAGTCGCCAACTGTCTGCAGAGTCAATAGCTACAGACCTCCAAACTTCGTGTGGCCTTCAGATTGGCACAACAACAGTGCGTAGAGAGCTTCATGGAATGGGTTTCCATGGCCGAGCAGCTGCATCCAAGCCGCACATCACCAAGTGCAATGCAAAGCGTGGGATGCCGTGGTGTAAAGCGCGCCGCCACTGGACGATAGAGAAGTGGAGACGTGTTCTCTGGAATGACCAATCACGCTTTTCTGTCTGACAATCCAATGGACGTGTCCGGGTTTGGCGGTTGCCAGGAGAACGGTACTTGCCTGACTGCATTGTGCCAAGTGTAAAGAAAAATCGAGCCCGGCCTTCTCCTCCAACGTCAGTACCTGACCTCACAAATGGTGCAACATTCCCATAGACACACTCCTAAACCTTGTGGACGCCTTCCCAGAAGAGGTGAAGCTGATATAGTGGCAAAGGGCGGAGCCAACCCAACGGACTAAGACTGGGATGCCATTAAAGTTCATGTGCATGTGAAGGCCGGCGTCCCAATACTTTTGGCAACATAGTGTATAAGGGTCTACTACACAGTGCAGGAAGGGAAATGGTTAATAACAGCCCTGCATGTCAAAAAGATGTTTAATGACATTTAAAATAAGGAAATTATGAAATTATGGAACCCCCCTCCTCCCCCCCCGGGTCCACCATACACATTAGAATCTGACCATACAATCCTTGTGTAACCAACTTTAGATCTACCTAGACTATATAATATGATATGTGTCTAAGCAGTGCTGGGGAGTGTGCTTCTATTTCCAGTCCCAAGTCCAGCACCTTACTAATTCTGGAGTCCAGCACCCCGTTGGGGGTCACCACAACTTGGCAGATGTTACCAAGGGGTCCCGGCGCTTCCATGTGCACTTTGCTGTAAAGCTAGTGACAAATTGATGAGTGTGTTTGCCATTTGTTTTGCTTGACTGATTTGGTGCAGTGACGCATGGGGAGGTCTCAGCTGCCATTGTGATGTGCGGAGTCCCTTGGGCGTCTATGTGCCTTTAACCAGTTGACATCCGCGGTGTTAAACCCCCTTCCCGTCCCGGCCATTTTTCAGTATTCAGCGCTGCGGTACTTTGACTGACATTTATTCCGTCATGCAGCGCTGTACTGAAATGAATTTTATACCCTTTTTTGGGGACAGATAGAGCGTTCTTTTGGTGGTATTTATTCACCACTGGGGGTTTTATTTTTTTACTATATTAAGGGAAAATTACCGAAATTTAAAAAAAAAAAAAGTTTCCCCTATATTAAATGATAAAACATTTATTATTACCCAATTTTTTGGTAAAATATAAAAGATGGGGTCACGTCGGGTAAAAAGACACTAAACATGTCAAGCCTTAAAATTGCGTGCGCGCGCGAAACCTCAAAAAACGATAATACCCAAAATTGGCCATAGGCGACGCTTTAAAAGCTGTTACCGCTCATCAGTTTAGTGTTATCAGTGATTGATGGCCCTAAAATGATTGCTCTCACTGCGACGTTCGCGGCGATATGTAACATGTGTAGCGCAATTGTAATTTTTGCGCGCTGGGGCACCGGACGCGTATTTACGTTTATAGGCGCGTAAACGTGGGGGTGGGGGAGTTAAACATTTTGGGGGGGTTTTTTCCCCTTTTTTAAAATGTGAATTTTATTTTATTTTACTTTTTTATGTGTTACTTTTCTTTTTTTATATTTATATTTACTTTTTTGCACTTATTGTTATCGCTATTATATAGGGGGGTAACAATCCCCCTATATAATAGCAAAGGCACACTGACAGGTCCTCTTTATGGAGACATTAGGGGTCTCTAGGACCCCTAATATCACCTGTGGACCCCAAAAGAAGCTGATGAAGCAGAGATCTGCTTTATCAGCTTCTTCTCTCTGGCTATAGCAGCCAGATGACTGACAGGTGAATGCGGAAGTGATGTAATA